GGCTGGCACCGAGGAGCATGGCATCAATCGAGATTTTGTTGATTTATTCTGTGGGCTGGATTCATCCCTTTCCTCTGCTGGTGTTTCCATGGGAGACGTATAATGTAGGAAGGGGAGGCGATGGAAGAGAAGCTAAAGATTTACTACGTATTTTTTGTTTTCCTCCAATATTTCAAGCAGATTGATAGAAACAGAATAGAGCATAAAATAAATTTGAAACCTCTCATGTAACACTCACTTTTGCATCCTAGCTAAGGCAATTCAGGTGATCGAGTACATATATATAGGTCTGACCTATATATACTGCGGTCTTTGTTAGGATCTGTTCACATTCAGGTAAGCACGTAAAAGGTGTCAGCGGTTAAGCATGCATTCAGGAGCCGTTCTCATTTGTTTATCATGTGAGTACGCAACAAAAATTGCGTGACATTGTAGAGCTACTTGGATACTCACTCCGTTCCTAAATATAAGTCTTTTTAGATATTTCAATATGGACTACATACAGATGTATATAGACGTAGGTTACAGTGTAGATTCACTTATTTTGTTTCGTATGTAGTCTATATTGGAATATCTGAAAATACTTATATTTTGAAACGGAGGGAGTACAAGTGAGCACATGGTACCAAGAAGCTTAAGATGTTAACGTCAAAAAATAAAGAAGCGCAAGTTACTAGAATAGTATAATACGCAAATGCATTGATCTTGGGATGTGTCTTGTGCTCAATATTGAGGCACTTCTGAAAGAGCTCAAATCCATGACAACGAATGAAGACGGATTGCTCTACATCTTCACTTCTGCCTCACCTTTACCGGCCAAACCTTTCTCTTTCAGCGTCAGCGTCACCAAAAAACACTTTCCTTCTCCTGATCATACGGCGAGGATAACCAACTTCTTGCCCAAAGCACCTGTACAACACTCCATTTACATAATGTCCTCAGGAAAGCAACATGGTTAGAGAAATAATCAGGTTAGCAAGCAACTATAGCTGGACTACTGTTGACTAGAAACAGTGACAACTATAGCATGTAATCTGATCTACTCTACATAAGTGAATGCTGATTAGGCTACCAACAGAGCAGCATGTGCTTCAGGTTAATTAATTGAAGAACCAAGGATATGGCCTAACATTAACTATCTGCCCATGGCGGCGGCGACGGCGAGTTTATGGAGCATTACATAAAATACTCTAGAAGCAGAGCACTGACTGGCTATATGACCCTGCAAAGATACTAAACACTACAGAAATCCTTGACAAGAAGACATTTACCCCTTCTTAAGTTCTGTATGCATACCATAAACTGGAGGCGTTTATCATGAGGGTTTTAGTTTCCGGGCGGTAAATTTGGTTACCGCCAAGTTACCGCGTTTCCCGCTCCCCCACGAGAAGCATGTATACCGAGCAGAAAATTTCAATTTTTTTGAATTTTTGAATTTAAACCACTATCACCTAGTTAAATAACATATATCTCTTACTGGAACACAAGCATACTCGCGTCCGAGTGGTAAGGACCTTCAACCAGCAACTGCGGGTCTTGTGTCAAGGACCGCCAGCAGCGCTTTTTTCCTTTTCGTTTTTTGAAGCCGTAATTTCTAAAAAAAATATGAGCTTGCGAGGGTCGAACACGTGGCCTGCATGTGCGGGGCATTGGAGCAGACATCTTGCCGCTGCGCTAGCACTAGTGTGGATAATTTTGTGCTCAAGTCTTATTTATTCTTGTCTTAAAAATTTTGATTTTGAATTTCGCTCGATTTTTTTTCAGAATTTCGTGGTTACCGTGGTAACCGAGTTTACCGCCCCTCATCGACAAAAATGGTCCATTCGGAATCCAAAACCTTTACCATTTTTTTCGAAAAGGGGTGACTCCCCGGCCTCTGCATCAGAACGATGCATACGGCCACATAAATAAATAAAATAGGTTCAACAATATCATAGAGTCTTGAAACAGAATAAAGACGAGCTCACATAGAGCCTCGACGCCAAAACGAGAAAAGGCCATAAAGCCACAACCGGTTGGCAAAATAAAGACAGGAAAACTAATTGCCTATCCTATTACATGACCGCCATCCAAACCGGTTGAAGATATCCCGCGCTACCATCTTCCACCGGACAGATCCAGTAACCAAACGCTCCCTGGCCTCCGTCGGAGTGAGTAAGGACCACATACGGATCAGCACCGTAGCACGGAATATAACCTGCAAAAAATGAATAGTAGTTATTCTGTTAAAAGCCAAATCATTTCTGCAATTCCAAATTACCCATAACAACGCACAAACTCCTACACGAATATGTCTAGCTGCATCGGACTCTATCCCATCCAGTCACGTTCCAAATAACGACCCGACCGAACTCGGAGGAGTAATGTTAAAGGCAATTTGCACGGTGCGCCACAGAATTCTCGCCAACGGACACTCAAAGAAGAGATGCTTAATGGTCTCGTCCCGATCACAGAAACTACACCTAGTAGATCCTGTCCAATTACGCTTAACCAAGTTGTCCTTTGTTAAAATAACCTGTTTATGGACAAACCACGTAAACACTTTAATTTTCAAAGGTACTTTTACTTTCCAAACATGTTTGGAGCTAGGAATGACAGTCGAGTTAATAACATTGATGTACATCGACTTAACAGTAAATTGTCCAGACCTAGTAAGTTTCCAACACAACTGATCGGGCTGATGAGCTAGCTGGACTTCCATCAGTCTACGCACCAGATGAAGCCAAGCTCCCCATCTATCACCAACAAGCACCCTCCGAAACTGAATATTAAGGGGAATGGACTGCATAATCGTTGCAACTAGCACGTCACGTCGCTGGACAATACGATACAGGGTTGGGTACTGTAGTGCCAATGGTGTATCACCCAGCCAAGTATCCTCCCAGAAACGTGTATCATTGCCATCACCGACAATAAACTTTGTTCTATTAAAGAAGGCTGCCTTGACTCTCATAAGCCCCTGCCAAAACGGCGAATCAGTTGGTCTCAGTGTCACCTGTGACAAAGTTTTGGAATGCAGATACTTGTTACGGAGAATCTGCGCCCAAGTTGCGTCAGTCTGAACTGATAGCTTATACAGCCACTTACTAAGCAGGCATCTGTTCTTGACCTCAAGATTCTCGATACCCAAACCCCCTTGGTCCTTTGGTCGACAAATAACATCCCACTTAGTGAGTCTATACTTTCTCTTAAGTTCATCACTCTGCCAAAAAAATCTTGATCGGTAGAAGTCCAGCCTTTTCCTAACCCCAACTAGAACCTCAAAGAAAGATAGTAGGAACATCGGCATACTCGTGAGCACCAAATTAATAAGAATTAACCGGTCTCCATATGACATAAGTTTTCCCTTCCAGCAACTAAGTTTCTTTTCAAACCAATCTTCGATGCATTTCCACTCTCTGTTGTTAGCTTACGATGGTGAATGGGGATACCTAGGTAAGTAAAAGGTAAAGCCCCTAATTCACATCCAAACAATTGCCTATAAGCCTCTTGTTCCTCCTTGACTCTACCAAAGCAGAACAACTCGTTTTTATGAAAGTTAATCTTTAACCCGGTCAATTGTTCAAATAAGCATAACACCGATCATGATCCTGCAAAGAAACTATAATTCTCAATCACACCGATCAGTAAGTTCCTACTGCTGCATTAGTCAGAGTGAAACAGAGTCAGTTATGAATAACAACATTACATTGCTAAAACCGCTTACGAAATAGACCGCCATTCGATTCAAATCTACAACAGCCAAGCAAGACACACTTCACCACGCCAAAAGGCTTTCCTTTTGCGGCCAGACATTTTTGCCAAAGCAAAAGTGAAAAAGTATTCATATCAGTTTGGCGACTGGCTAAGCAATCAGCTTTGAGTCCCCTTTTATGATTTTCTATACTCCTCTTCCTACATAGTGTTGTAAAAAAATTGGTAGTGTTCCCCTGTGGA